CTGCCCTGCTCCTGCTGCCTCGTGCTGAGGGCCCGGCTGAGGAGGGATGGCAGGTCAGGCACCTTCACCTGAAACACCTGCCAAGGGGGGCACAGGGTCACCCAGTTCTCACACAGCAGTGGGCACTCCTCGGGCAACCTCCTCGAGAACAGGGGCTGTGTCCCTGCTGTGCGCTGCTGGCTCCCTGGGCAGGCACTGGCACAGATGAACACGGCTGTGTTGCCATGCCCTGTGCCCTGCGCCACACTCTGTGCCATGCCCTGCCCTGTGCCCTGCCCTGTGCCCTGCCCTGTGCCCTGCCCTGCCCTGTGCTGGGCGGTGTGTTGCGGCTGTAGCTGGGTGAGCCCAGCCCGGGCTGGCCCGGGGGGTCTCCGCGCTCCCCCCGCGGCCCCTCCGCGTGTGCGCAGCGCCCCGAGCGCGGACGGGCGGGCGGGACCCGCGCGGGGCTCGGGGAGGGCTGCGGGCAGCCCGGGCAGAGAGCGGCTGGGTCCTCTTTTCTCTTTGCAAATAAAACCTCACCTTCCAAACTGTACTGCGGCTCGGCTGGGTATATCTGGAACTTTTTTTTTTTTTTTTGGTTGTTGTTGTTGTTGATGTGTTGTATTGCATTTTTTTTTTCCAGGCAAGGGTGCCAGTGCAACTCGCCCTGTAGCGCGAAGGGACCCAGAAAGAGAGAGGAAGATAAAATGAATTTAAATTCCAAAGGGGTTTCAGTGCTGGTTTCCTAGTCCCCGAGTCAGCAATGTGTTTGTGAAAATTCAGCCTTTTTGTCTCTCAGAAAAAAAGGGCTAAATCTACATCGGTGGCCCAGTCTAGGTTTGCTATTCTTTGCATTTTCTATTCAAGTGAATGAGAGTGAATGAAGTGGCCTGGGACCCTTTATTTGATCTACTCAATTGCATAAAGTGACAGAATTCTAATATATTTGTTTAATGCTCTTCAATGGGGCTTTCACTTTCTAGCTTGCAAATGAAGCCTCGATCTGCAAAGTTTTGTCCTTTTTTTCTTTCTACCTTTTTTTTTTTCCTGGCAGAGAGACCATATTTCATAACTTGGGCCACGGTTTGAAGTGATTTCAAGAGGAGTTTTAGACTCGAAAAGTGGGAAATAAAGAAACAGATGTGAAGTTATTGTAAATTCTTATAGTGGGCTCTGGGGCTATTGTAAACCCACTGCAGGCGGTCCAAAGCCTCTCTTTTTCATGCTGTAATTGAAACATATTAATTAGATAATTTGTTGTTAGTTTAAAAGAAACAAATACAGCCCCTCCAAGGCTTCACAGCCTCGGTTTCTTTTTGTTAATAAAAACAAAACAAAAAAATAACGAACTCTCAAAGTGATATTTATATTAAGATTCCGAGATAATTCGGCACTGAAGTTGATAAAGCTGCTAAGTTTTTTGTCCCTTTCCCAAGGACCACTTCTGAAAAAAGGCTGGCTCATAAAACTCCCTCTCAGGGGTCGCCGGGGAGTTCTTTTCTCCCTACCTGGCACAGACCGCCCTTCCCTGCAAGGCGCGGTCCGAGAGAAAATAAATATTCTGAGAGAGAAAGAGCTGGCTGTCTTCAATAGAGGATTCAGTCCTGTGGGGTGGTGTCTTGTCACATGTCGAGGGGAGAGAAAACAAAACAAAACAAAACAAAAAAAAAGAAAAAAGAAAAAAAAAAAAAAAGAAAGAAGTACGCCGCCGAGAAAGGATTCACACCCCATGCGCTGACATGGAGCAAAAGCCCGAGCCGCCAAGCCCGGCTGGGTTCTCGGGCTTACCTTGCACAGCCGGGCTCAAACCCATCCTCCGGAAGAAAAGAGCTTTTGCCTGGAATGAACGCTCGCTTTGCATCAAGTACGCTCAGCTTACAATGTCTCGTTGGCAAATAAAATAAAAAAGATAAAGTTCCCCCCCCGGCCCCGCACGAAATGTGTGAACGCGGCGCAGAGCTCGGCCGGGGCTGGTTCCCTCGCCCCCCCTCGGCCCTTCCCTCCGCGCCGTTGTCTCTCGCTGTTCCATTTCAGATCTGTGTTTATTGACATTGGACTTGAGCCATTAGGGAGATTTAACAAGTCAAAGCAGTAAATTCAAGCGACGCGCTGAGCTGCGTATTTGTTTGAGAGCAGCATCACAACATCGGGGCGCGGGCGGAGATGCGCGGAGGAGCGCGGCTCAGGGCGCGGGCAGAGGGGGGTCCTCGGGCTGCCAAAGTCTCGGGCAACCGCAGAGATAAGGAGGAAAATGGCACTTTAAAAGTACGGTGGCGACTCATACTATGGCATTATGCAGCGAGAAAGCTATTGCACCTTTTGAAAATATTTCGCTTTGGGCCATAATCTTTTCAGATCGTTATCTCCGCCGTTACTGTATAGTTTAAAAAAAAGAAACTCTGAAAGTGCAGCTTCATCTTCTTAGCTGAGCTCGGATTTCATCTTTGAGGATTTATTCTGACTGTGAGATCTTAAAAGAAAAAAAGGAAGGAGAAAAAGCGTCCTCGTCGTCTGAAAATGTAGGTCATCGCTTGTTTAGGAAAAGTTTGTCGAGTTTTGTGTCCACTGATCTGGTGATAAGTTTTGAATGCTTTCTTTAGCTGATCGTGTTGATATAATCGTGGGTTGGACTTGATGAATGAGTTCAGTTGTCCCCCATCTGACAAGCTTTAGCAGCTTCATGCATTTTAATCAGCCCAATGATTCATGTATTTTTCACCTTTTTTCTGTGTGTGGGATCCGTTCCCTTTTTGAAAAAATGGTCACAACTGGATTAATTGCCCTCTACATTAATCTTAAAACTTTTGCAAGGACCTTGTGGTTTGTAATAAGTAAATGGGGATGTCACTTACTGTGTTTGTGGTCCAGAAATTCAGAGAGATCAGTCAGAGACAAAACCTCTGTAAACATCATTGCCGTAGAATTCGCGAATCCTGTCTGTTCATTAGAATACAATGTCGTTTTCTTGCTAGGAAGCACTTCAGTGTGTGGTTGTCTCATAACTGTGCTCGCAGCCTCCTCATCTCCGAAACACTTCGCTAGTAATTTCACTGGATTGCTTCTGTCATTTTCAGCAGTTGCAGAATCCTTGTAAAATCCCTAACAGATTTGGAGAACCCCACCGGAAAGTGTGCCCGGAATCCAGTTTTCATTTTAACTACGTTGCCCTTACTTTTTAAAAGGGACTGTATATTTAATTACAGAAAAACGGGTACAATTTTAAGTGTCACAGTTTGCAACCTACCGTTTTTGGAAAGTGTTGATCAACAGAGATGGGGAAATTACAGCAGTGGCTGGACTAACTGTTGTGCTTGAGGAGGCTTAAACGACAGGTAAAGGGCTATAATAGCTCACTTTTACTAGAAAAAGATTTTGAGATGCCACTTGTAAGAAAAAACACTACTGGCAAAAATTCAGTATTCTCAGTCTTGAAAAGGAACTAATTCTTTAAGGGTTTTTATGTTTGCTCTCTATCGCAGGAGCTTACTGATTTTTATACTTTTTAGATAAAATGTAACTGGGAGTGGTAGGTGATAAGTTACATCCAAGCAGGTGTAAATGGAATTCGTGTTTGTATTCGGTGTGAGTGCAGAGGGCACAAATGCAGATGTGTATGCGTAGATGCACAGATGTATAAACCCCGCACAACACGCTCAGTGCATTATCCCTTCGCTAAACCGGCAATAACGACAACTTTATCTGAGACGTGGTGGTATGTTAATAACTACATTTATAGTAACCTTGCGTGAAAAGGCTGTTTAGATTATCTAAATATTGGAATAGCGTCATTCCTTTGTTATCAACTAATGTTTTTTCTTTTCTCCTGTAAACTCTTTAAAAAGACAAATAAGAAACTAAATCTACATTTACATATTTTAATGAGAAAATATTATTTGGACGACTAGGTTCATAATTTAACGTAGACACTTTTTAACCTTTGTCTTAAAACACACATGCTGGGAACAAGAACACCAATATTTAAAATGCCATGCTTATTCTGTACAGGAAAAAAAAAAGTTAAAAAGAAATGTCTTTACAGTTTCAATAGACACTAATGCCATTTGGAGGGGGTGTTCTTTTTTTTTTTCTTAACTTAAGCAGTTCACAACAGAACAACAGTTCAGTTTCCAGCAAACTACCTAAAACTAGAAAGGAGTATATCAAACAAAAGTGCATTTTACACATTTTATAATCATTCATATGCACAAACATTTACAGTTTCCCTAGCCCCCTCTCTCTTGTCTGCAAAGCCCCAGCAGAAATCAGGATGACCTCCACAGTTTGTACCTGCTATTGTATTACTTTTTCACGTTTTATCAGTGACTTCAGCAGCTTTTCTTTAAGCTATGTAGGGTCATGTGCTTGGTGACAGGTTTCTTTTTATTATAATTATTGTTGTTGTTTGTTTTTAAGCTATGAAATAAATAGCTACAAAATTAAAAAAAATAACAACAACAAAAAACCCCAACAAACAACAAAGGAAACCTCAGCCTCCGAAACCTTCGGGTTAATCAGAAGTTAACAGGCGAGTCAACTTCTCTTTCACCTGAAAACTACAGTAAACATCCACGTTACAACAGGTACTGCAAAAGGGACCCCATCTGATGTACAGTAGAGATGCAAGTTCAGTATTTACATTAGGACAGGCGCTTTGTAAACATTAGAGGTGTGGGCTGAGTGGACCGGGGCGGTTCCCTCGCGTGGGTCCTGTTCCCGCGCCGGCCCCGCACCCCCTGCCCGGGGCTCCTGCCCGGGGATTCCCGCAGCCTGGCCCCGGGAAATCCTGCCCTTTGTAACAACGAGACCCGCACAAAGGACACGAGCACTTCCCGGCATTTCCAAGATCCAAGCGTTGGCTGCTTGGAGGCTGGAAACGCCGCTGCTCCCGTGCAGTGAGGCAGCGGCCATCCCTGTCTGTGGAATTACAGATCGGTCCTGGATACACCCTGCTCTTCCCCGTACAAAGGAAGGGAAGCGGCGTCCCCGGGCCAGGCTCGCCTGGCCGCCGGCACAGCGGAGATGCCTGAAGTACTTTTGGAAAACTAGCGATGCAAGTGGCAGTTCCTACCGGGCGGGAGGGGGCCGGGCCGGGTCCTTTCGCCTCGGGAGAACGGAAAGCAAAGTTCAGGAGCAGGGGGGAAGCCGAACCCCGAGGGAGGGCTCATGGCAAACCTCAGCTTCCCGCGGGGAGTTGTCTCTGCTTTCGAGGAAAAGAGTGGAGAGGAGAGAGGAAAGGAGCGGAAGGAGGGAGAGGCGGGGAGGGAGGAGAGCTCCGAGGAAACTTTGGGAGACAGGGAAGGCAGAGTCCGCGCGGGCGGCCCGGGTCAGTGCACGGCCACCGAGTGCAGGGCGGGCGCGGGGCTGGTCAGAGTCTCGCTGGGGGTGGCCGGGCTGCTCTGGCTGGTGGCCGTCTGCGAGGACGTGGGGCTGAGGGAGGGCGGCGAGTTCGACAGGATGGTGGGGATGGGCGCGGGCAGGGCGGGCAGGGCCGGCACCGCGGCGGGGGTCGGCTTGATGGGGACGGGGATGGCCGGCAAAGTCTGCCCCCCGTGGCACAGCGGCTTGATGGGCACGCCGTAGGCGCCGTACTCGCTGCTGGCCATGGAGATGGGGGTGGCGGTGTCGATCATGCCGGAGCTGTACATGTGGGGCCAGCCCGTGCCAATGGAGCTGCCCACCGTAGTCAACTGGTTGGGGAGGGGGTAGGCGGCCGGCATGGGCTGCATCGTGGAGAAGGCGAGGCCCCCGGGCATCTTGTACTCTCTGGCGATGATGTTCTCGATGGCGAAGGGGTGCTTGAAGCTGGAGGGCTGGGACACGCCGAGGTTGTACGTGGACATCTGGGGCAGGTGGGTGCCGGTGGCCGCGAGGGCGCTGAGTCGCAGCTTCGCCTGCTGCTGCAGGTACTGCGCCGCGTCCGCCGGCTTGCTGGGGGCCAGGTGGTCCGACTTGACCACCTTGAAGCGCTTGCGGCGCCGCAGGAAGCTGCCGTTCTCGAACATGTCCCCGCAGCTGGGGTGCAGCGCCCAGAAGCTGCCCTTGCCCGGCTGGTCGGGGCGCCGCGGGATCTTGATGAAGCAGTCGTTGAAGGACAGGTTGTGGCGGAGGGAGTTCTGCCAGCGCTGCGTGTTCTCCCGGTAGTAGGGGAAGCGGTCCATGATGAACTTGTAGATCTCGCTCAGGGGCAGCATCTTCTCCGGGGAGCTCTGGATCGCCATGGCGGTCAGCGAGATGTAGGAGTAGGGAGGCTTCTGATCACTGTAAGTGTTTCTACCCGGGCGAGGCATCTTCGCAAGGCGACCGGGGAGATCTGCAGAGGGGCAGCGACAAGGGAGGGGGCGGGGATGGGGGGAGAGGGGTGAGTCCGAGAGGATTTGCACGGACGCCCAGTCGGGGCAGTCGGTGGGTCTGGGGCCGGGCTGGACACAGAAGGACGCGGGGAAAGGGCACGATGGACCTCAGCCCTCTGGATGGGGGCGGGGGATGGAAGGATGGGGGCAGGAGAAAACAGCCCGGAGCTCTGTGCCGCCGGCGGGGGAAAAACGGTGTGCCTCTCCCAGCTCCGGCCTCCCTGAGCCTGGCCTTCCCGCTGCAGCCCGCGGCCGTAAAGTTACTCTAGTGATAGCTCTGTCTTCTGGTCTCGGCGAGGAGGAGAAGGGGACCTCATCCCCTCCCCTCCCCTCGTCTCCCACTTCGTGCTACCCCCTGCATATGCCCACCTTAGAGTTGCTGGAAGTTGACGGTCCGCATCCGGGACGCAGCTGAGAGTCCGGGCTCTTTCCCACCCCGCTCCTCCGGCGTGTCTGTCGCTCCTTTCGCGGCCACTCTGCTCCGGTTTAGTCCTGAGGAGGCAGCGAGCTGGCTCGGTTTTGGGAATCCTCTTGTACACCCCTCCCTTCTCCTCCGCGGGCTGAATCAGCTTCTTTTACACCACCGGCAGCTGGACTGGAGCAGAGGCTTGTTTGCTTCTCTGCAGCCGCGATGAGCTAAGTAGTTGCCTCCATGTCCTTCCTCTAACCATCTGATAGTTTTATGTGGTGACATGAGCAGAAAAGACCCCTGTAGAGGCGCTTCATTAATGTGCCACTTCTTTGCTATCATATGACAATCGCCTTGGGAGCAGGGGGAGGGGAGCAGGGAGGAGGGGGCTGGAGAGAAAGGCATAATCTGGTTTCATTTACACCTATTTACATGGACACCTTGAGCCAATGGGAATCATTTCCATTTGAAGACAAGGCGAGGGGTGAAAAGGCTCCGCCAGCGGAATTGCAGTGCGATGGTACCCGGTGGCTGGGGGTGGGGGGGAAGGTATGCACTAACCTCTCTGTGGACTTTGCAGGAAGCTTAGTCTGCAATTCACACTTACAAATGGAGGTACTGAGCAGTGGGATGTTTGACATGGAAATTGCTTGGCTGTGGTATTCTGTTTGTTCTGCATTGTTATCTGATTTGTATTGTTGGCTAACTTAAGGCGAGCCTTTTTCCCTGTAACGAGAGACTTTCTCTTTGCCAAATCCGCTCTCCCCGAGCGAAGGTTCTTTCGAGGAGCGATAAGATCGGGGCTCCTCGGTAGCCGCCGCCCTGGGAAGTTACTCTCCCCCCCACGCTCCACCCTTCCCCCCAGCCCATGCGGGACTGGTTCTGCGGACCTGTTGGTGTAAAGCCGTGGCAATCGCCCTAAATAATCCCAGCGAGCGGGCTCCCGGCCGTGGCACAGCCCGGTGTGCTCGGGAACGAGTTCCCTGCACGCCGCCGTTCTGCTCGCGGGGCCGCGGAGGGTCCGCTTGCCCTTCCGCCCGGCCGGCCTCGGGACTGGGGGCTCCCGCGGAGCTGGGCCGGGCTGTCCAGTCCCTGTCACCGGTCATGGTGCTAAATATCCTCAGTTTGACGCCTTCTGTGGGATTTACGCGCTGTATCTCAGGCTGTTCGCTTGCTTGTATGCTGCTCGGTGTGCGCCCGTGTGTGGAGGAGCAGGCAGGGTGCGGAGGAGCAGGCAGGGTGCGGAGGAGCAGGCAGGGTGTGGAGGAGCAGGCAGGGTGTGGAGGAGCAGGCAGGGTGTGGAGCACCCGAGTTGCGGCTCTCTCTGCTCCATCGCCTCCCTCCTCCTCGGGAACCGAGGCCCGATCCTGGAAGCGCAGCCCAGACGAGCAGCTCGCTGCCAGCCGCGTGTCCTGGGGGGAAGATGAGGCCCGGAAGGTCCCAGGCTTGCCCTGGCACGGGGGGGAAGTTTGTATGATGTGTATTCCCGAGGCTGCGGTGCATCCTGTCACCCTAGAGCCAGAATTAAAGATTGTCTCGGGAGCTGCAAGCCCTGGGAGGAAGAGCCTTTGTGGTGAATACACATCAACTCCATTAACAATATTTTCGGAGTCGGTCAATAACTCACCAAAACGTAACTTAAACACGATGAATTTAGGAGATTAAACAATTTCATTAATATTGAAATGGCTGCTGAGGCTGAGCGCGCGCGCTTGAAATGCAAGCGCACGTTTTTCAATATTAACAGAAGTACTTGAAAAGAAGAATAATGTCACCTTCTTAATTCAGCAAAAATAGCCGGGCTGGGGGAGGGAGCGCGGCGGCGGCTCCGCAGCGCGATGGCTGCGACGCGGGCTCTGCGGGCACCTGGGAGCCTCCTCGGAGGGACCGTCCCCAGCAAGCGGGGCTCCCTCAAACCTGGCAGCAGTCTGGAAACCGCATTTCACACCGCGCCGACCTCGTGTGTGTTACACTGCGCTCCCCTCCTTCCAACCCGCCTGCCCTCGGTCCCATCTAATCCCTCTCTCTCGGGGCAGGATGTCGTTTAGAGAATAATGAGCAAATAATTGTGTTCCTAGGACTCCGAGCAGCCGAGCGGCCCCGCGCTGCCGAGCTAACGAGCCCTTTCGGAGGGAGACCTGCCGCATGTCACCCTGTGCCCCCGGCAGGGAAGGGCCCGGGAGCGTTTGTGCGGTTCAGAGCCCGGGAGCTGCCCTGCTCAGTTTAACCGGCTCAGAGATGCTCCGTCCAGCCGGGCAGGGCAGGGAGGCAGCCTCTAGAAATTTTTTGGGGGGTGTAAGAGGTGATGAGATGATGAACGTTTGTTAGGGGGTGGGAAAGACGATACTCTGAAATGAGGACAGATTCCTCCCAGCGTCACCAGGACACCACGCAGAAGGCTTCTATTTCTGTATTGAGAGCCCCCAAATATGTGGGTGTAAGGGACACTTCCCTCCCACACCCCAGCCCCCCGTCCCCAACTCCTAACACCCCTCAGTTCGGGTTTTGTTTCTCAGCCCAAGTTCACTCCTGGGATGCCCATCAAAAAGACGGCTCAGAAACAACACGGGAGTGAATAAGATTCACAAAGTGACAAATTCTTTTCTTCCTCTTTTTGCCAGTACCTTTTCTTTCCGAAGAAAGAAAACAAAACAAAACAACCGCTGGTGCAAGAGGGAACCGCAAGCTGTAAAGTTAAAGAAAAGTCGACTTCCGTTGTCATTTGCTGCTCCGAGTGCGAACGAGGTATGGCTGGAAGGCGCACGATTTTTTTTTCCTTCTTTTTTTTTTTTTTTCCCCCCCATTGTAAAGGAATGTGTGAGCGGAGGGGTAAGGCAGGCGAAGTCATCCCAGTAATAGATACCCAAAGTTTCACCTCGTGTTAAGCACACAACAGATGATAGATCTGGGAAATACAGGATTTAAATGCAACTTGTAGCATTTGCCTTTTACTTTGAAAGCCAACACTAGGGAGGAGGAGAGGGTGCAAGTGAATCCAAATCCATTGTGTAGGACACCAAAACAAATAGACGTTTTTCTGAAGTCTAATTCAAATAAGGAGCTCAGAGGAAGTGTTCGGAAAACTGTATAAAATACACATAAGTCAATTATATCAATGTGCAAACCCAATGGAAATCTATTTCGTGCAAGGGCCATTCAGCCCTTGCATGGAGCCCATCATGGACCACCTTTCTGCATGGAAGGTTTGCAATAGCCCCCTTTCCCACAAGCAAGACCACACACGTTTACAGATTTGCTAATAATTTATGCTAATTTTCCTCCATAAATCCACAATTCGCCTCAGTGGCAAGCAGGTCTGTTGAGAGAGGAAAAGGAGACAGAAAAGTGACAAATACAATATTGATTTTGAATCCTTGCGGCTGCAAGCAGGTGTGCAGCTTTGCAGAGGGGAGGAGTGAGAGAGGGGCTGTGAGGGGAAGCCAAGAAGTTTTCCAGGGATAGAAAAAACCCACTCCGTGTGAGAGAATAGCTCACAACCTTGTTAATATTTACAAACCAGTTGGGAGAAAAGAGAAAGGAGGGGGGAAGTACCAGCTTCTTAGGGTTTCCTAGGCTGCAAAACACAATGCCAGGCTCTGAGCAAGCTTCCCCCGTTTTGGAAAGTCAACTTCAGGCTGCTGGTTGTGGCTGCGTTTCGGCTAAGCCTTGCTCTCTTTTTTTCAGTAATGGTTCTGCTTCTTTTTGCTTCTCGGGGGCCAGGAGGGAGAAGGAAGCGGAGAGATTTGGGGTCTCCTGCTTTTCTGTGTGCTTGAATTCCCGGTGCGGTTTCCCGAAGCGCTGTGGCCGCTCTGGGAACGGCGGGGCTTTGTCCCACCCCACATTCTTCACCAAATCTGCCACTTTGGCGTGAAACTACTTAGCGCTCTTTCAAAAGGATTTTGTTCCTTTCCCAACGAGCACTAAACAAACTCCCCCTGCTTGTCAAGGCTGGACTGAGAACTGCTCCCCAAACCTGTATTCCCGATAGCTTGAGATGCACAGTGCGCTTTGTGCCCGAGGGGGCCCGGGCCCGGCTGCACCCCTCGAGGCCCAGGGCTCCCGGCGCTGGGCTCGGCCACCCCTGCCCTACCTTACCCTGCCCTGCCTTGCCCTGCCCTGCCTTGCCCTGCCCTGCCTTGCCGTGCAGCCCGCTGGCTCCTCGCCGCTGTCACCCTCCTCAGAGCCGGCTGCCTGTTCGCGCTGTCCTCGCCCGCCCCGTCGGCGATTTCAAGCACCACCAGCACCCGGCACTTGTCCCCGCTGCGCCACCGCCGGGGGGGCACCGGCTGGGCCCCCTGTCCTGGCCCAGCGCCATCGTTTCGCCCCTGCCCAGCGCGAAGAGAGTCCGCACTGGGACCACCCGAATTCCTTAAGCCCGGGAGGAGGCTGCTGCTCCCGCTCATCGCTCCTGGGGCTGGCCCGGAGCAGCCGGTTCCTGACCGAAGCCAGTTTCCCGGGAGCTCTTTTTCCTCCGTCGCCGGCGGTCAATCCACGCGCGGGTAAGCGCGGCCTCGCAGCCCCCCTCCCTCCGCGGCCCCGGGACCTCCCTGGAGGGCTCGGAGGAGTCGGGGCTGCGCGGGACCGACACACCGAGTGCGTGAGCTCCGGCTGGGCACACACAGCGCTGCCCGTACCTGCCCCCCGCCCGTCCCACCTCCGCGGGGCCGTGCGGGTGTGCCCGGGTCATACAGGTGTGCTCGGGCCACACAGGTGTGCCCGGGCTGTGCGGGTGTGCTCAGGGCCACTCTGGTATGCCCGGGGCCACTCAGGTGTGCCCAGGCTGCTCGGGTGTGCCCGGGCCGAACAGGTGTACTCAGGGCCATACAGGTGTGCCCGGGCCGTACAGGTGTGCCCGGGCCGTACAGGTGTGCCCGGGCCGGTCAGGTGTGCCCGGGCCATACAGGTGTGCCCGGGCCGTACAGGTGTGCCCGGGCCATACAGGTGTGCCCGGGCCGGTCAGGTGTGC